GACACGGCAGACCTCAAGTCGGACACGGCAGACATCAAGTCGGACACGGCAGACCTCAAGTCAGACACAGCAGATATTAAAGATAAACTATATCAATACATCAAAGCACGACCAATGAATCAAGAGATCCCACAGCTGGCTACTTCAGAATTTGGACCAGAAATAAATACAAAATGTAAGTGTTACCATCCAAACACCCGTCAGTGGATTCTAGATCAAGTCAAATCCCATGTTGACAGTGACTACCCAGACTCGTGTATAATGCTGATCACCGCTGGTCCAGGTATGGGCAAATCAACTCTTGCTGCTAAGATCTGTCAGACATACAAGGATCTTGGATGTCTTGCAGGATGTCACTTTTTTCAGTTCAGCAATGATACAAGAAACAATCCAAGGTTGATGTTGCAGTCCATAGCAGAGCAGATGCGTGGCACTGTTCCTGGTTATCTAGAGGCCTTAGAAACCAAACTGCAAACGGATTTTGGCAAGAAGATATCCGAGATGAACTGCGAAGAGCTGTTAACCATTTTGCTAGAGGAACCATTGTGTAGCGTGGAACAAAAAGACTCTAACTTGGTTGTTGTTATAGATGCTTTAGACGAGTGTTCACATGATCCAAAAGATGAACTACTGAAGGCACTGAGGAAAAAACTCCCATGTTTCCCTTCATGGCTTCGATTTATTCTAACCAGTAGACCATCAACAAATACCATCTCTGCACTTGGTTCAATTGTTGCTGTAGAAATAAGACCAGAAGATCAATCTAATATCAAAGATCTTAAACTTTTTTTCAGCCTGGAGCTTAAAGCCCTCTATCCACAATGCGACAGTGACGATAAAGCGTATCTTGTAAAGAACCTAGTTAAAATGACAAAAGGTTTGTTCTTAGTGGCTTTCTTTGTCATCGACTATTTGAAAAGAGAAAACGTTGCATCAGCAGAGAAGGTTTTGGAGCTGTTTCCTAATGGAATCTCATCAGTTTATGAGAATTATTTCTCTCGTCTTAAAGAAGTATTACTACCTTACATATCAGACAAGGAAGGGTTCTACAAGATGCTTGAAGCTGTTGTGGCAACCAAAAACCCTTTGCCAAAGAACATGTTTTACAATATTCTTTGTCTCAAGAGCGAGCGTGAAGTGCCACGCGAAGAGAAAAAGAAAAGAAAAGATGCGTTGAACTCACTTCATTGGTTGTTTCCTGTTGAGGGTGATCACGTGACAGCATTTCACAAGTCAGTATTTGATTGGTTGATTCTTGAAGAAGATGAAGAACATGACTTCAGTGTTCGTGTAGAAGACGGGAAAGAAGTACTTGCCAGTCAGTGTAATGATGTCCTGAGTGACATACGAAACGGAAAAAAAGATCTGGACAAACCGTTGTATCTTACAGACAGTGAGAAGTATGCTCTAAGATTTCTTTGCCACCTTGTAGATAAACGCTCATCAGTAGTCAAAGCAGATAAGTATGGATTCTTTTCGAACATTTATCTCCTGACTGCATTAAGGATGGAAAACATCAACTTTGCCAATTCCATTAGTGGCTGTGATATCATATCTAGTTCTTTACTGGGAATAATTAAAGATTTAACATTTGGTTTCCCTATGAATAGTATGACTCACGTCCATCCTCTTAACTTTTTTCGTCCCATTTCATTTGGTCGTTACCTTGCATTCTTTCTTCAAGCAGCACATGCGAAGGAAGTGATTGTCGAAATAACGCCAAAACCACTTTTCCCTTATTTTGATGAAAAGAGTTTATTGCAGAATCTGCCCATAGCAAGGAAAGGACCGGAAGAACACTCAGTTGCTGAATTATCTTCCTTACAATATCTACTTAAATGTAAGGATGGATTTACAGCTGTTCTACCTATTTCTTGTTCAAATTCACTGTCAACTGCAGTATATACGTTCCACCTTGATGGACGCTGTATCACGTCGAAATCCTTTCCTGGCAAAAGGCTCATAACCACCTCTCCGAACATCAACTTCATCGTTGTTGCCCAAGAAAATGGGAACAAGATTGAGATATTAGACGCGACGACACTTGAAGAGGTCAGTCAATACAAGTCTCCTCATGATGCAATACAAACATGTCACGTGTTTGGAGATGATCAAGGCTGCTTTGTTGTCATCAAGGGTTGTCATGACAACAAGGTCTACGTCATTAAAGGACTAACGGGACACGTACATAACACCATTACAGTGAATGAAGATAGTACTGTAATGGACGTTAGCTGCAAAGGCCATATTTTGGTGTCAAGAACATGGAAGCGCAATGGGCCAGAAAAACGAAATACTTTTAGTATTAGAGATTGGATTGATCATGAGCCGTTTACATACACCCACCGAGAACTGCTCCTGTATCACTATGACAGGGCAGAGCGACCCATTCGCATCTACCCATATACACTAGTAGAAAAGATGAGCAATCGTCCGTTTTACCACTTTTCGCGTAGACGTACTGTAGAAGACGTAATTCATTCTGAAGATGGTCGCCTTCTTGTATACCATCATGAAAATTCCATATTTATAGTGAAGACGTCAGATGGCTCTGTGTTTAAACAATGGGCATGTGACGTATGGTCGCTAGCGTGTCCTGACTTTTTGTTCCTATCAYGGTCATATCTCGTGATCACTGATTTTAATTTCATGTCCGTGATAAACGTCCAAACAGATACGGTTGAGCACAGAATCTATCTTCCTTATCCTATTATGTCAAAAACGAAACAATACCTTCTGTTACCAGAAGGAGATGGGAAGTCCTTCAACTTGATCAGCAATCATTTCAAACCTGTTCATGAAGTGTCAAGACTTGTGTTTCATAATTTAAACCTTCGAGGTCTTCAATAAAGACACACGTCTTCACGGGATTCTACACTCAATCCAATTTTAGTTGAGAACATACTCGACAAGTTTGCACGTGACTACTTACTCAATCTTAAGAAAATGTCACTGACCATAAGGAGAAATTGGCACACTGACTGCTTACTACTGGTCTGTTTCGCATGTATTGACCCTTTAGACTCGCTTACATGACTTGAAAAAGGAAATAGCTGTTGACTACGGGCTCAACAAAAATTCCATATAGCTGAAGTGAACATAGAAAATCATGTCCCACAAGCTCATACAACAAATATGATGGAATATCTCAGATTTTAAAACTCTGATCGCGGAAAATTCATCATAACTGAATCGTTTCTGTTACTGGCCTTTAAAGAAAAACAGAAAAATTGCCTCGTAATCCTCGTTGTTATTTTTAAGACAGATACTGTGTAGTTGTTTCTGGGACAAGATTTTAATTCCACTAAGAAAACTGCTGAACGGTGATTGGTTCATCGTTGTTTGCCCAAGAAAACGGGAACAAGATTGAGATATTAAACGCAACAACACTTGAAGTGACCAGACAATACGAGTCTCCCCATGATGCAATACAAACATGTCACGTGTTTGGAGACCATCAGGGTTGCTTTGTTGTCATCAAGGGTTGTCATGACAACAAGATCTACGTCATTGAAGGATTAACAGGACACGTACATAACACTATTACAGTGAATGAAGATAGTACTGTAATGGACGTTAGCTGCGAAGGCCATATTGTAGTGACAAGAAGTTGGATACGCGAGGAGCCAGAAAATAAACAAGAACTTCTGTTACCGGAAGAAGATGGGATGTCCTTCAACTTGATCATTAATCATCTCGACCATTCATCTCACAAAGTGTCAAGACTTGTGTTTCATAATTTAAACCTCCAAGGTTTTCAATAAAGACACACGTCTTCAATGGATCTCAGTTGAGAACAAATTTGACAAGTTTACGCGTGACTACAAACGGAATCTTAAGAAAATGTCACTGACCACAAGGAGAAGCTGACAGCCATTTACTGACCATAAGGAGAAGCTGACAGCCATGTTACTGACCATAAGGAGAAGCTGACAGCCATGTTACTGACCATAAGGAGAAGC